CCCGGGTTACATGGATCCGACTTACATCGGATCCCTACTTACAACCGGGGTGAGGCACCCCCGCACTAGCTACTTCCCCCCAGCAGACTAGGGAGATGCGAAGCTAGCGCGTCCCCCTCCCCCCGCCCAGCAGACCAGGGAGAGGTGGAGCGGCTTTTCTCAGCAGACACCTCAGCTTGAGAATAAAGGACTGAGGGAAGTGAGGTGTGGGAGAATAAAACTGAGCTCTGGAGAAATGTTTGGCTAGAGTTTCCCCTACAATATGTACCAGTTCCGACTTACATACAAATTCAACTTAAGAACAAACCTACAGTCCCTATCTTGTACGTAACCCGGGGACTGCCTGTATAGTATATATAGTATAGTAATATGCTGTGACACCTATTTATGATACCAAGTATGATCACTGGCAGGAATATTGAAACCAAAGGCAGAAATGTGATGCCACTGGTTTCTTGGTGAGGGATGATTGGAAGAAGATGATGCTTACTGCTTAGAACTGGAAACTAAGTTAGAAACATGACGGGACGGCAAGCATGCGTGCAGTTGGGGAGGGTCATCAGGATAGAGAAGGATCCGTAGCTTGAAAAGAGCAGTAGAGCATTACCATAACAACACCCTAATAATTTATGAAGATGTATTTCTAAATATTTTACCAGATACTCGCTAACTGGACAGATTTTTCCTTTGTTTTTTTTTAACACCCCATCAACTTTATTATCTACTAGGAATGAAACAGACACTACCAGATTCATGCTCATTGGGCTGCCAGACAAGATGTAATTCCTAGGTACTGTGTATGCCTGCAAGCTGATTCATCATCTGACAATTTCAGAGAAAAGAGCATGTAATCTAATTTCTCATTGGTCTCTCTGTAGACATTTTGCCATTTTCACTTGGTCTTCAAACTGAGATTGCAACAGTTTAACACAAAGTAGTCAAATAACTCTCTGGCAACACTGTCCAATTAACCATGCCTGCCTTTTTATAGTTCCAGAGACCTCCAGTGACCATGCTACAAAACTGCCTGAAGAGAAACATCTCTCTGTTGCTGAACAGATTGAATCTATGAGGTGCCAAATTCTCGCTAAATGGGAGGAAATGCAAGCAATGGAGAAAGAGATTAGAGAAACCATGACTCATGCTGGGATGGCAAATACTACAGAGAAGACGGTTAAAGACATAGAGGCATGACATTATTTCTAAACATTTCCTGTCAAGTTTATTGGTGCTTAGCTACTTTGATGATGGGCTCTTTAAAACGAGACAGATAGCTACTCAGTTGCCGTTATTTTCTCCTCTGAGAACACATCTCTACAGGTACTTTTATGGCCTATTCACCATGGTGTTTAGGCTCTGATCCTGCAATGTGCTGCATGTGGATGGACCCCCATTGAATTAAATGGAGTTCTACAGCCACAGGGGTAGAAATGTAGCCGTGTTAGTCTGGGGTAGTTGAAGCAAAATGCAGGACAATGTAGCACTTTAAAGACCCATCTTGTTAGTCTTTAAAGTGCTACATTGTCCTGCATTTTGCTTCAGCCACAGGGGGTCTTTCTGCATACACCACATTGCATGATTGAGGTTTTAGAGCAGGGTTTCGGAACCTGTTTTGGGTAGGAGGCCACAGACCCACAGAAAAATCACTCGAGGGCTGCACACAAAAAACCCTCACTGATGTGGCACCCGACTGAGGGAAAAAGACATATTCCCCTTGCACACCAAAGTCTACGGGGACCCAGCCTAGTAGATTTTGGGTGCTCTAGCACCATAGTAGGGCAGCAGGGAGGCTGGAGCACCAGCACAGGCTCCCCAATGCAGTTGGGGCTCTGAGCATCAGGGGCCAAATCCAGGCAGGTCTGGGGGGCTGCATTTGACCCCTGGGCTTGAGGTTCTGCACCCCTGCTTTAGAGCCATATATTTTGTAAAGTACACATGTGAAAATATCTAAGTGATACAGGTGAAGGGTCAGAATGTTTAAACTGATATTGTCTGCTATTGCTCCTGTACTTGGAGGGTGGTAATAACTGTGTGCCCCAGTACCGTTATATAATGGGTGGGATTTTCAAAAGCACTCAGTTGGTTGCCTCTTCTCCTGTTGGAGATAATAGTAAAACTCCCGCTGATTTTAAATTGAGCAATGTTGGTCCAGCACTGAGCACATCTTAAAAATCTCATCCTTAGACATCTAAATATATGAATGTGCCTGCAAATCAGTTTCTTAGATATCTAAATGAATTTACCTGAGAGCACCATATTTCAGATATAGAAAAGAAGGCCTGGTTAAGTCAAAACTGAAAGTATTAGGTCTATAATATATTGTAAATATCTAATAATTATTTAATAAAGCCAAGCAGAGGAATAAAACCATACATATATGTTCATATATTTTACAAAATTATCAGCTATTTAGTTGTATTTTAGTAGCATCCAGAGGTCCCAGTCAGGATTGAAGCCTCACTGTGTTGGGCATAAGAGACAGCCCCTGCCCCAGAGAGTACAGTTAAGGCTCTGATCTTGCAGAGACTTATTCAAGGAGCTACCATGAACTTTGCGAGTAGTCCCATTGGAAACTTGGGACCATTGAGAGTATGAACAGTTAACTGTGTATAAGTGCCTGCAGGATTTGTACCAAAACATTAAAAATAGCATTTACTTTCCTTTGGATGTTGTGCTGCTAGAAATACAATGAGCTCTCATTAGAGCCATCCTTGCCTATCCCTGTCTCTGGTCAAGTGAATAGGAATCCAAGATGCATTAAATGAAGTAATTTTCTGGAATCAAATAAAATTTGAATATTCCCCAAATGCAATGTGGCACAGTTAATGATGGGTTTAAATTATTTAAATGCATTTCTAACATTCAGATATTTCTCCAAACCTTTTAACCTCTGACTGAATGTAACCTTCCTTCAGTACATCAGATTTTTCCAGTTAGTTTTACTGTCAATAAAACAGAGTAGTTGTGCAACTTTGAGACATCCAGAAAAAAATATAAAAACAAAAACACAAATAAAAAATCATGCACACTCCACACCACTTGTCTTTTCCACATCAAGCACACAGACCATCGTGTTACTGAGTTTCACTTGGGTGCCTTTAAACTGACTACATTTCAGTTCTTTGTCTTTTTTCAATCTTGTCTTTATGTCAAACTGTACAAGACAGAAACCTGTAGTTCACTTTTAAAAATAAAACAAAAAACATGCTACCCACAAATGGCAACCACTCAGAGAGAAAGTCCTGTCTCAGAAGAATTTATATAGTGTTAATATATTAGATCAGAGAAAAAAACAACAATAATCCACCATAGTCTTCTATTCTTGCACTGGAAAAAAAAAAACGGTGTAAGCCCAAGATGTTTTCTGAAACATTTCTTTTGCAAACTGATCAACAATGCATGAGTTGTGCCCTTCACAGATGATAAAACAATTTCTGGACAAAATGTGAAGCACCTTAGACACTAAATTATTTTCTCTGTTCCAGATATACCTATTAAGAGATATGAGTATCCACAAGTTCTAATGGTTTAAACTTTCTATTCATGTTATTTTTTTTATTTCATTTTTTGACTTTACCTGAGCTGGAATGAAGAAGAATAGCCAGCAGAGGGCAATATTGCACAGCACTCTCAGCTTGAGAGATTCAGCAGCTGCTTGAGGCAGACCAGCAGGATACTTGAAGTACAGCCACTCCAGGCACTCTGAGCAACTAGATGATCTCTGAGAGTGAATGGAACCTCTACATCAGTGGCTCTCAATCTTTCCAGACTACTGTACCCCTTTCAGGGGTCTGATTGGTCTTGCCTACTTCCAAGTTTCACCTTACTTAAAACCTGCCTGCTTACAAAATCAGGCATGAAAATACAAAAATGTCACAGCACACTGTTACTGACATATTGCTTAATTTCTAATTTGTATTATATAATTATAAGATAAATTAATTGGAATATAAATATTGTGCATAGATTTGAGTGTATAGTGTATAAAGCAGCATAAACAAGTCTTTACACCATTTTAAATTGTACTAATTTTGTTAGTCCTTATATGTTGCCTTTTCTAAAAATAGGGAAATGTCTAGATGTAGACATCTGTGTATTTCCAGGGGTACATGTACTCCTGGTTGACAGCCCTGCTCTACACACTCTTAGACGTTAGCTCCCAAGCAAATGGTTAATCTGGGCCTGAATGCGGAAGGTGTATATGATTTCAGATTATGATTCATAATAATAAATCTATAATCTAAACCTCCCATCCAATGGATATTTAGGCAAAGGACAAGAAGAGCAACCTAATTGAAGTAGCTCCTCTCTATATTTCTCCTAACAGTTAGGTTTCATAATGACAGTAATATGTGCTGTGTACATACATTACAGGTTAAAAATAGCTCAGCTCAATAATTTGTTTTTTTGGAAATATGCTACAGTTTAGCAGATCTGTGCTATTATTTTACAGGCTGAAGCCTTCAAACTCAATACAGCAAACAGCTTCTTTCAACACCAAATCAAAGTAAGCTCCATCTTTACAACTGTGATATGGTTCAGAGCCCCGTTATAAACCTTTTACTCCAGTAATCTTCACTAGGTCTGATCCAGAGTCCACTGAAGTAATAGGAAATTGCTGTGGGCTCTGCATCAGGCCCAAGGTGACCACCTACTAACTAGAGAATAGAAAGGTGTTTGTCTCTTTATTCTGTTTAAAATTCTGTTTAGGAGAGCTATTATATTACTTTGGTCAGAAGTTTTTTCTGGTTATCTTTGAATTATTTTTTACAAGAACTTATCAAAGCTTTAAAATCCGTAAGTCAAAGATGCTAAAGCTCCTAGTATAACGAGGGAACCAGCACGAAGGAAGGGTTCCTATGCTAGATGGATTTAACATATCCACACAATGGATGGTTCAGAGAACATTGAGAGGCTTGTGTAAAAAAATAAATGGACTTGAAGATCTTTGGAGAGAAAAGCCAAGTAGATAACCGGCAATTTGGAAAGGAACATAAAATAATGTTACATGCAGATAATCTACTACACACTCAAGAATATGATGCTGTGTGTCAGTACCCAAACTATTAGTCGTCATTTCTGATTTTGATAAAATAAGAAGTTATAAAGTTAACTAGCCCAAAATGAAGGTTTTGTCCAGCCACTATATTTAAAGAATAGAAAATCACAAGAGTATCAGTTGCACAGGTGGGAGCTATAGTAGTTCACTGATGGCTATGACAATTTTAGAATAATTTAAGTAACCACAAGAAATAATATACATGCAATACTGATGCCTCTGTAATCTTGCTTAGCTTTATTTTCTGTTTTAAGCTCTGCAGTTAGGTCCTGTCAGTCTTTGTAAGGGTACGTCTAGACTACATGCCTCTGGCAACAGAGGCATGTAGATTAGGATACCGGACATAGTAAAATGAAGCGGCGATTTAAATAATCGCCGCTTCATTTAAATTTACATGGCTGCCGCGCTGAGCCGACAAACAGCTGATCAGCTGTTTGTCAGCTCAG